GCGCTCCCTCCGCCCTGAACCCCACCCGCGTCTGCTTCCGCGCTCCCGGCGCGCCAGTCAGGCGGTCTCCCGGTGCCCTCTCCACACTGACCCCGGGTCCTCTTGCTGCCCCCGAGCCCTATCTCTCGGTCCCTCCCCCCGCAGCTCCTCCCCTGCAGCCGCGGGTACCCCGGGGCCAACTCACCCCCCCACATTCCCCGCCCTCTGCTCCGGCGCCCTCTCTGCCCGGGCCCCGCGGCCGCTCGCTGACCCTGGCCTGGCTCACCAGTCCCGCCCCCTTGAAGCTCCTCACCGCCGGTCCCCGACTCGCTTTCCCAGGCTGCTGGGCTGTCCCTCAGCCCGGGACTCGGTTCTGGATCAGCCCGTTCTCCTGCCTGCCCACTCTTTGCCCTAAACCCACATTCTGTCCCCGCTCCTGCAGGTCCTGCTTGCGCTTTGGGTGAGCGATGCCGGTCCATATACCCGCCTGGCTTTGGGAACTGAAGGTAGGAGGGACCAGGATGCCCCCATCTTCCCTGCGGGGTATAGGGTAGAGGAGAACCAGGCCCCAGGAAGGAACTCAGACTCTTGTTTAGACAGCATCAGCCTCATTCAGAGCCTTGGAAGAGGCTTCATCCACTGAGAAAACATGTATTGAACTCTTTCTGCTACGCCTAGTAATACAGAAATAAGAACCAGGAGTGCCTTTTATTCCCTCAGTGTAGATGATTGGAATATGTCCAGAGAAGGAAGGGTATTTGCCTAAAGTGACCCCATCCCACAAGTAACCTGCCTAGCAACAGCTACTGTTTGGGCCTGCCTCCTGTGGACTGGGCCAGGTGTTTTACCTGGGTCATGCCATATATTGGGTTGTCGGAAAAGTCATGACGCATTTATGCAAGGAAAAAGAAAAAATAACGTCATGACTTTTTCGACAACTTAATAGAATCCTCACAACCTTGTTAATTTATTTAGTATGCACTGAACACCTACCACATGTGCCAGACCTGTGCTCAGTGCTAAGGATACAACTATGAGAAACATGCATCTGCTCCCTGCCCATTGACTCCACTGGGCTTAGCAGTAAAGATAGACAGTTAGATAGAACTCGTGAGGCATCCCATGAAGCAGTATTATGATCTTCAGTTTCTGGATGTAGAAAGTGAGATTAGATGGTTGACTCATCACCTAGGAAGAAAGTAGCCAATCCAGGACTGGAATCCATGCCTTCAGATTCCACATCCTGTGTTCTTTTTTTTTCTTTCTTTTTTTTTTCCACTGTAACTGCTGGGGAAATGTGGGTTGGACCAACTTACAGAGGCCCTTGAACTTCCAACTAAGAAATCTGGTCTAAATTATATGGTTATGAGCAGTCAAGGAATGTAAGCAGAAGAGTGGAAGTAACCCAACGACAGGTACAAAATGGGTGTGGATGGTTATGCCAGGAGACTACTGCAATGGTCCCAGCAAAGCTAATGAAGTTCTCATCCCAGGAAGAGACAGTGGGGATGGGAAGGAATGATTTCCACCCTCTTGAAACCTGTGTTTGCCTGCATTTTCCCTGGGGGAAGGAACCACCATTTACTAAACTCCAACTGCACACTAGGCAATGCCCTGGGCATTTTGTATATATTACCTGGTTGAATCCTCCCCATAACCCTATGCAGTAGGTCCTTTATTATCCTCATTTTACAAATAAGGAAACAGAGACTTTGAGAGGTCAAATGACTTACTGAAGCCCACAAAACAAACTAGTGTTGAGGCTTGGGTTAGAGCCCAAGCCAGTCCTCAAACCTCATGCTATAATTGTCCCTCTGACTGGCTGAAGCCAAGGCAAAGAACCCAAGTCCTTTGATTCAGCCAAGGGATCTTTTCCTTGGACCTTAGGTATCTCTGAGATTTCCAGAGAAAGGTCAGGGGTCCATAGTTGTAACCTAAACTGTCCCTAGACCAGTAGTGCCAGTC